TCATTAAATAATGTAATAATTGAATGACTAAAATCAGAATGAAACAAACTATTGATCCACCAGATTGAACCATAATATCATAGCAAATGACCCTCTTTTTTGTTGTGTTTCAGGAAGGAAAGGCAAGCTTGAGATAGCCATGAACCAACCCCTATTTTATGCTCATGGACAGTAGAAGAAAGTAAAACCTATTACTCTGTTTATTATTCTGTTAAGAAAATGGAAAAATAGAAGAAAAAACAAACTAACCTATTCCTAATGATTCTCTTCAAGATGGTAAAGTCTATCCTTAAATATATAAAGGCCAACAAAACTTAGAGATTCTATCCTTACATAACAAAAGAAAGTCACTAAAAATCATAAGAAGAAAAATTGGGGATAAAAACATATTTTATCCTCCATAGGAATGCGTTACAGTTTCAGACCCAATGTAAAAAGGACAGCTGAGGCTTTCAAAAAGTTGTTCAAAATGTGCTGGAGAACTACAATCAAGTAAGGAGAGAAAATATACCCGCGTTGAAGAAAACGTTGACCTGGAGCGAATCGAAGGGCAGGGATTGTCCTGATTCACGTCTAAACCGGGTGAGGAGATTTTCTCCGACCGAATATATCCCAACTTCTCACCCGAGCCCCAGTCACAAGCCGAGAAGATTAAAATATTTAAGCAGGAGATTAGACGAATTAACCAGAGGATTCCGTGCACGTAGACGGAGAGGGGTTAAGCGGAAGGTTTTGTGCGAAAAGAAAGAAGCAGCAGGTGCGAGAAGGAGGAACGAATGAACCAGTGATTTTCTTCTGCCAATGCATTTGTGCTTGAATTAATTTTACTGAAATCTTAGTTTAAGTCTAGTTTATGGGAAAGTTCCCGAAATAGGACTAAAACAGTTTGAAAATTCCAAAATAGGACTGACATGTTTTTTACTCCCAAATAGGAGTAATTACTGCTAAGTTTGGAAAATAATGCCATGTTTGAAGTCTGGTACTGAAAAAACATGACAGTAATTAGTCCTATTTTGGGAATAAAAACATGAGAGTCCTATTTTGGAATTTTCAAACATTTTTAGTCCCATTTTGGGTAATATCTCCTAGTTTTTTATTCATAGCAAATTTCAGATAAAAATTCAACCGGAAAGATGATCAAATAAATTTTTGAAATATACCGCGTTGTTTAACTGCGCAGTTATCTTCAAAAATTCATTGAAAATTGTTGAAATAGAAAAAGGAAAAAAAACTAGCAATGTAAAATCTACAAAGTATATTTTAGTCGGTTTTTTCTAATTATTTGTACATTATGACTTCATACTCTCTCCATATTTTTTTGTTTGCTACATTTTTCTTTTTTTGGATGTATTCAAAAAATTACTACAATTTCCCTTTTTCGTAAGTTTTTCCTGTAAAAATACTCAACTATCCCTTGCTTTTTCTACTTTTTATCTTCTCTTTCATACTTTTCCAGCATCTCTCCTACTTTTTCTATACTATTCATCACCCCTACTATTTCACTCTTAAAAAATGTGTCAACACCTATTGTAGCAAACAAAAAAATACGGAGGGAGTATGTCTTTTAATGTATTTCATATAATTTGGCATTTGTTTAGCTCTTTTTGCCAAACGACTCTATTCTATTTAACTAGCAATTCAGATTCAACACTTCAAAATTCAGATTCAGTCAATAGGCTTTCATTCAGACCATAGTCTCTAATTCAGATATTAGTCTCCAGTTTGAGCTCGTTGTGACAAACATAGCCTAAGACTGTGTTCGGCAACAACGTCAACATCCTGCTCTTAATTGACTGAAATTATTCAAGTTCGGCTAATACATCTAAAATAGCCCTGTTTAGAAAAAATACTCCGTATCAAGTAAGAAAAAGCTGACTGATAAGCCTGATAAGCCGAAAACAGAGTTCTCCAAACGGGCTAATAGCGTTGCTATTCAGCCGATCCTATATGATTAAATTAAAGTGTAGAATTATTGCAAACCGAGAAGTAAGACGAAGTGTATTATTACTAGTGTTCATATACAATTCGTATGAAGGTCTGTGCATATATACATACATACGGTGTAAATAAAATAAGGGAAAAATAATAAAATTACCCCAAACTTTGAAAGGGTGTGAAGTAAACACCCCAAACTTGCATATGTAATTTAAATACCCCAAACTTTATATAAAAAGTTATTTTTGCACTATTGTCATGCATTATTTCTTTCAAAAATGTAAATTTATGGGGTTAATTGCATAATTTAAAATAGCAAATTAAAAGTGTTGCAATTATATAGATCGGGAGTAACATTATTTATTTCGCAATGGAAGTTTAGAATGTTGATTGTGTCTTCATGAATTCTAAAATATTTTAAATTATGCAATTAACATCATAAATTTACATTTTTGAAAAAAATAATACTTGACTATGGTGCTAAAATAACTTTTTATACAAAGTTTGGGGTATTTAAATTACATATGCAAGTTTAGGGTGCTCATCTCACACCCCTTCAAAGTTTTGGGTATTTTAATTATATTCCCCATAAAATAAGGAAAGAATATTCACAAGTTAAATAAGGGAACAAATAATGACATATATGGAAAAAGTCTAGAAAAATCTCCTTGTCCATAATGATGCTTCACGTAACACATGCATCCGCAGTGGCGGAGCCAGACATTTATGGTTAGAGGGGCAGGTCCTTAAGAATTTTATATTGCAGGGGCCAAAGTTCAAAATATCAACATACTTTCTACAGATTAGAAGTATTTATACATAATATATACTTAAGATTTTTTTTTCTTGCAGGAACTGTGGCCACCTCCAGCCCCTCCTTGTCTTCACCCCTGTGCATGCGGATCTTCGTGTAACGGTAGCCTTCAAAGTAGTGATTTGAATTATATTTTGTGTTACCAAAATATAATTCACGTAATAATCCCCCTCAAGTTGGAGTGTGGAGATCCCGAACACCCAACTTGCTACGTAAAAAGTGAAAACGATCAGCACCAAGAGCTTTAGTGAAAATGTCGGCCACTTGGAAGTTAGTAGATATGGGCTAAGGTTGGATTTACCGGCTAGAGACACGTTCACGGACAAAATAACAATCCATTTCAACATGTTTTGTGCGCTCATGATAGACGGGATTAAGTGCAGTGTGATGAGCAGCTTGGTTGTCGCAGAATAATGAAGTCGGTGTGGTGAGAAAAATCCCAAAATCCTTTAGTAGCCACCGCAACCATATGATTTCACTAACAGCAACGCCCATGGCCCGATATTCAGCTTCAGCAGATGATCGAGCCACAACCGTTTGCTTTTTAGTACGCCATGAAACAGGGGATCCGCCGAGGGTAATGAAATATCCAGAACTGGAGCGTCGAGTAAAAGAACACCCAACCCAATCAGCATCACAATATCCGGCTAAATCAAAATTAGTCTGAAAGGAGAGGAAAATGCCCATGCCAGGAGAGCCTTTTAAATACCGAAGAATGCGGTGTGCCGCATCCAGGTGGGTTTGGCGCGGTTGAGAGAGGAATTGACTTAATTGATTAACGGAAAAAACTATATCTGGACGTGTCACAATGAGATATAATAAGCGGCCAATCAAGCGTCGGTACATAGATGCATCAATGAGAGGACTATCATCCTCAGAGCGGAATTTGAGGTTTTGTTCCATCGGGAATGAACTCAGTCGACTGCCCCGCATCCCACTTTCGGCTAAGATGTCTAACGTATATTTACGTTGGCTGAGAACGAAACCTTCAGGAGAGCGAGCCACTTCGATCCCAAGAAAGTATTTGATCGGGCCAAGATCCTTGATAATGAATTTATTATCAAGATAGGTCTTGATGTGAGTAATATGTGCTAGATTATTTCCGGCAAGTAAAACGTCGTCAACATAAATAAGAGCGGCAGTATATATATCGTCATGCCGGTAAATAAAGAGGGAGTGATCGGCCCGAGATTGGCGAAATCCAATAGAACCAAGAGCATGAGTGAATTTTTGGTACCAATTGCGTGATGCATGTCGAAGCCCATATAGGGATTTTTTGAGCTTACAAACACGATGATCCCCTGGTTTAGCAAACCCTTGCGGAATACGCATGTAGACATCTTCATGAAGATCGCCATGCAAGAAAGCATTGTTGACGTCGAGCTGGTGGACAATCCAATTATTTTTAGCCGCAACTGTGAGAAGGCAACACATAGTGACTAATTTGGCCACAGGTGCAAAGGTCTCGTGAAAATCCACACCTTCAATTTGGGTAAAACCCTTCGCAACAAGCCGGGCTTTATATCGCTCCACATCACCATTTGGTTTGTATTTAATTTTGTAGACTCATTTAGAGTCAACAATTTTTTTGCCAGGTGGTAATGAAACCAACTCTCGTGTGCCATTTGCTTTGAGTGCCTGGACTTCCTTTTGCATTGCCTCTCGCCATAGAGGATCCCTGATAGCTTGAGAAAAATATTTTGGCTCATCACGAGATGTGATGGAAGATAAAAATGCACGGTGGGTTAGAGAAAACTTATCATAAGTGAGAAATTGTGCAAGAAGATGTACCGTCGAGTAGGCCGAGGGAGTGGTAGAGGTAGAACCGGCCAAGGACGGTGGCAATACACTACAAGAAAGTTACACTTTCCCTACAAATCGTATTGGTATGGAAAGATCATTTTTTGTATTCTAACGTCTTTCCATACAACATTTATTTGTGGTGTGATTTGTGACGCAAACCTTGTGGACGAAGGCTTTAGGCTACAAAATTTAGAATTTTCTATTCTAAAATATATGAAGACAAATCTTTAGCACACAAATGAAATTCCTTGGCTTAGCTTTTTCATAACAAAAATATATTTGTGGTAAAAATGTATTTACACCAACAATTTTTTTTAGGGAAACCTTCAAGCACCCAAATGTCACAAGATAACATCATAACATACAATGTAAAAATTATATTTTTTTTCATTCAAAAATTAATTTGCATTGATATAATGATTCAAATCATATTCTTGCACCACAAGTACGAGACAGGTACAAAAAAACAATAGATACACTTATCTTCATTCTTTCATTATGAAAGACAAAAGGTACATCCTTAAAAGTATTGAATTAGTCTACAATAAAATATTCCAATATCACAAAAATAACCACTCCTGACCATGACTATCCTAATCAGAGATCATATGATTCATCTTCAACTTCATCATCCACATCAACTGATAGTGCCGTAAAAGGTGGTAGAATGAAGCCTGGAACATTACTATACGACTTTTGTAGAGAAGCGCACCATGCATCCAATGTTAAGTTGAACTGTTTTCCTATAACCTTTACTCTTTCATGTAACCTTTTCTTTGTCTCTAATCGGTCCATTTCAGCACCTTTTCTTGCAGCACGTTCAATGGCTAACTCATTCTCTATACGCTTTTGTTGTAAATTGGTATCCCGAAGACTTCCATCTCCTAATCCACGAATTCGGCATCCTGGCTTTACACCTAGAACGTATACCATAATATTAAGTCTTGCGTCTGCATTATCAACAGGTACCTCTTCTAAAGGAGTATCCTCAGGAAGTTGCTTCTCTCTTATCACATCCAAGAGATATTCATCTGTTTTTTCTATCATTTTATCCTACAAAAGATTTAGATAATGTTAATTAGTTAGTGCCAACGCAATGTAATAAATAGCTTATTCACTGAAAAGACTAGTTCTAATATATTAACATAAATCATCATACTCAGACATATTTGGTTACTTACAGGACAGTGTACATATGCAAATATCAATGTTTCATTCACAATGATAATACATAAATAAAGTTCTAGCATAAACTCTCAGTGTAAAAATTATACTACTTTTGAGATAGCTCAATGATTATTACTCCCACTAAATATAAAAACATAAATCATCATACTCAGACATATTTGGTTACTTACAGGACAGTGTACATATGCAAATATCAATGTTTCATTCACAATGATAATACATAAATAAAGTTCTAGCATAGACTATCAGTGTAACAATTGTCACACTTTTGAGATATCTCAATGATTAGTACTCCCACTAAATATAAAATGATGTGCATAATAGATAACTCTTGCCCAAGTATACTTCTAGCCCAACTTTTAACAAATAAATGATAAAATAGTCACATTACATACACTACTAAATGAAGTGCATTTTGTCTGACTATACAAGTTGCATTTCTTTTCATGAAACAAAAATAGTTATAAAAAACAGAGTATCTTACATGTTGAGCCTTATCTTCATCGCTCTTCCAAGACTTATCTTTTCCGGTGTAAGTGTATTCAAATGTGTCAACTTCAGGAAATTTAGAACCGCCCTTAAAGCACCAAAAAACTTAATTACCGCTGCCATTTCCTCTACAATGTATGCAATGGGACGAGAACCAGTGCAGTGGTTGTATTTTTTCTTAGAACGGTTGCTTGTGTTTGCTGTGGAGGATTTCTGTACAGCCAGTACAGGAGAGGTTTCATTAGAGCATGAGCAACTAATGTAATCATAAATAATGAAAATTATAAAAATATAATATACCATAAATTTCTCGGAAAGGAAATGTTCACACAACTTGGTCCACTCATCTGGACTTCTATCTTGCATCCCTAGATGGGGTGTTTCAAGTGCGTTTTCAAGTGTTTTGCATGACTTGAAATATTTACTCAGTTGAGCCTTGAATTATATGTACCTTCCAGCATAAAGCCTAGAGATATAATCCTTCATTTCCTTGTCTTGTAGATCCACATCAAAGTTTGTCTGATATGGTGTTAAATGAGACAACGAGCATATTTAGAATACAACAATAACTACTGATAAAGTTTATTTGATAATTTTAAGACACTTATACTTACGGTTATCTCATCTATGAGGTTTGTCATCGTGTTAGAAGAAATCGTACTCCAGTATCACGTATCCATTGGGCAATGTGTCCTCACAATAGCTCCAATGTCATGAACTAGTAGACTATGCATCTCCACACTAGTTGCACGCTTAGTCACTCTATTGTATACAACTTTTAATCTTTGTCTCGTCGTCAACACCATACATGAATTTTTAATCTGTTTGCATGGACCTCGTGTTAGAGCCTGGCTGGTGGTCCTCGGTGAGGAGATACAATCTATCATACCAATCCAAAGAAAGCCCCCAAAATAAGTTTTGTCTTATAATACACTCAATTATATTTAAGTTAAAGAATAGCCCATAGTAACCATGAAACCAAAAAAATACCATTTGCTTCACCACTTAATGCCTCATCATTATCTCTCTGCCCAGGAGTATTGTTGTGTGCTGAAACCATAAAACCTCACAATTTTGTTAAGATAACATACATAAAGCTCATGACTCTTAGGGTTTAATTTAAATAAAATTAACAGTTTATGACATAATAAAAAAAATTAAAACATAAAAATTAAAAATGGTGCTTATCAACTATTATGTATAAAGCTTGTGTGATGCAAAGATGGAAGTGAAAGTCTAAGGACGATAATTACCAGCTCTGGAAGAACTGGTGGGATGTGTAGTGGCCTGTGCGATCTTACTTTTAGGAGCAATACCAATCGGAATATTTGATCTTAGAAAAGTTGAGTTTGACTAGTTTCTAACTTCTTGAGTGGGAAACATGAAGTTGTTGATGGACTGGTTTCTTTGAGGTGTGGGAGCAGTACACCTCTTAGATTATAATGAGTTTCTTGGGGACAGTGGAGATACAAATATGCTATTAGACGGTTTACTATTTGAAACTTGTGTCTTTAGTGTGGGCGGCATATCTGTCGTTGTCACTCTAGCATTTTTGTGTGTTGAAGTTGCCGTTGAGTTGATCTCTTTCCTCTTTTGAGAAATGAGCCGCATCTGCACACTCACAAAAACTCATAGCATTAGGGAAATGATGCCTTCAAAGAACACAATAATAAATAAAACTAGATAAAATTAAACTATACAATACAGTTAAGAGTTAAAAGTCTGTAAATATTATGATACTCCATAATATAAATCATTTTCTCCATCGAGTGTCTTAAGAGTTTCCGTCATAGCATTAGTTGTAAAAACATTGAAAGTAGGAGTAATATATTAAATCATTAACCAATAGCTAAACCATTTTAGCTAGAGTGAAAAATAAATTCAAACGACTCCATATTCCCCTAGTCATCATACAAGCCTAGACATATCACTTCAGGTTGAATTCATTGCTAAGATGCCCTATGCATGCCCTGACATGAAACAGATGAATTCATCATAAAAATGATTCTGCACCAATATCTACCAAACTTGTTCAATACATCTCCGTTTCAGTAAGTCTTCTAAGATATTTTGAAGTCAACAGTCAGAATACAAAAGGGTGCAAGACGCATGATGCATACCCTAGCTATAGGTTAAACGAGATTTTCTGAAAAATTGGAGCACATCATCTAGAAAAGAAGATAATCAAATCTCACGCATATAACACATAAAAGAAACAACAAAGCAACCAGAGTTGTATATATGTAAATCCAATCGACTGGGACATTTGTATATAAAATGAAAGGGATTAATATGCAGAAGAAATTTAGGCTAACAACAACAAGAGAAGATAATATCTCTATTAAGAAAGGGTAATAACACAAGACGTATACATAAATTAACATTTTTAACATCAAATGGGTGTATCTATAATAAATTTGTGAAAGAGTTCAAACGAGATGAACTATTAAATAAAACTAATATACTTAGAAAGTGAATTCAAGCATATACCTTAGAGAATGAGTTCTTACTCAGCGCAACCAGAAGCTAAGTTTTGAAAAGCCAATATAATTGTATAACCTTCAGTGGCCACCAATCATCCTATTTGCGCTTACCTGCCATTAACAAGTTGTGTTAGGCGGCAACCGCTAGTCATTCAACTAGAGATTCATACTATTCTAAGATATACTCCCCAGTTCATTTCAAAAATTACTCCTGTATCAGCATTTTATCTAATTGAATGCATTTGACATATAAAACAAGGTGCCTAGGTACCTGTGTCACGCCCCGGACCTATCCGGACACGTCAACAACCCGCCGTACAATACGAATAGTCAACCGCAGTCCAACACATTCATATTATACAAGGCGTCTTGAATATCATTCACACACATACATCCATAAACAAACATAATAAGTAATTCATAACGCAACGGAAACATTGTTTAAAACAAAAGGGCCACACAAGGCATTTCATGAGCACGCAGGCTCCATAGTAAAATATCCATGAGCATGTTTATTAATGTTTAAAAAACGAATGGAGGAAGCACGAACCAAGTCTTCCCTCCTAGATGATCTCTCGAGCAACGAGCACAGGAAGCAAGCTCTAGCCTCAACCTGAAAAATGGTGGTGGGACGCCCCCGAAGGGGTCAGCACTCTATAGGGCTATAAAGTGCTGGTGTGGCAGGCATCTAATAGATATACAACAAGTATTTCACACACAAGACCCTCAAATAGGGTGATAATATAGTATAGGCCGTAATCTCAAATTACCCCTTTCAAAATATATACTTACTTTATATAAAGTCAAGTAGTCGGCTCAAAGGCCCATGTTTGTTATAAAACATTTTCCAAAACCCCGTGACTAATGGTCACGACATACGTAGGGTCCAACCCTAATACAACTTCTCATTTCTAGAGTTCGGCTCGAGTACATCATCATGCACTCGCATCATAGATCTCCTACTTCATATAATCATATCATAGATCTCCTACTTCATATAATCACACCATAGATCTCCTACTTCATAAAACCACACCATAGATCTCCTACTTCATAAAACCACACCATAGATCTCCTACTTCATAAAACCACACCATAGATCTCCTACTTCATAAACCACACCATAGATCTCCTACTCCATGATTTCCCAATTGACACTTGAATCTCATTCAAGTTCATCACAAACAAACTCAACCTTTAAGTTTGGTTCTATCAACATATAGAACAATCCTTAACTAGCATCACAATACTATTAAGATTATTCCTACAACTCATTTATCATTAATGGTAGCCCCTCCATATCAATAGATATGTGGCAGCCTCCCATGTGCTAAGCATCATCATGCAATCATACATTTACATACACATAACATTCATACATGAGTTGGAAGGTCAATTTACCATTTTAGCATACTTTTATCTCACATGACTCCATATTCATCAATATGGTTTCAATTTATGATCAAGTCCATTACTTATCATTCATATCATGTTCAAGCATATTTATTCACAAAAACATGATTTAAGCATTTAGGTAATCTCATGCATAACCTACAAGTTGTAAGCAACTAGATGTCGGTCCTCACCTCAAATGAGCTTTAAAACCTTCCTTCTCGATCCAATGACCAAAGCCTCGGCCAAGGAATATTGAGAGCTGGTTCCTTGCTTGAAAATGGGTGTTAAACAGCTTCCTCAAGTTGCTATTTCAACTCCTAATCGTTGATACGAAAACAGCCCCTAGAACGGGTGTTTTCCGGCTAACTCGATTCTTAGAAGAGTAAATCTGTCCCTGCGAGGTCGCGTTCTGCTCGGACGATTTGGAAGCCTTCCTCTACTCCGATTGATGCAAACCAGACCTTCACGGATTCCTCGTCTTGAGAGCTTTCTTTTGGTATCTCACACGCCTTAATTGGATTGGTAAAACTCGAGATATCAACCAAACAGTCTCAGCACTCTCACAGCTCGAGTTCACAGACCACTGCTCGCTTCAGATCGATTTTTGGATGACTACTCTCTCCTCTCGAACAGAGACCACTCAATTATGAAAATAGACTTCAAAGGCTATCCAAGGACACCTTATACACCTCATTTGGACGAGTACAACTCTCAAAATGAAGGGAGACAAAACAGCACACCTGTTTGTGCGAAAACAGTGGTGGTGGCCCCAAAATTTGATTCCAATTGTGTCATGGGCAGTGCTTCTCCATGTGGTGCGGCCAAGGTGAGTCTTCTCACATATTTTCCTTGTCTTGCAGGTACTAATATCATGTGGAGTGGTTCCCCATTGATCCCAATTAATTTGGGATCCAAAATATCTATCAATACACCCAAAAATGGAAGAATGGGTCCTATTGTTTTATCTTTTGTCAAAGATGTCTTTTTGTACTCATCCTAATTTATTTAGAACAAGTCAACTTCCTACATAACATTATTGATCCCCAATATGTGTAGGCTCATCTCAATAATTTACTTGATGGATAATATAGAAGGAAAATCCTACTCCCATTATTTGGCTCAATAATGCCAAAGATGGGGTTATAGGCATTTGTACTCTTCTTTAATCATCCTATCACTTATCTTGACATTTGTCATTCATATTATTGGGCTACAAGCCGTGTGGGTCGCCCCCGAGTGGGCCTACGACGCCGTCCTCAAATATTTGCTACTTTAGCAGGTTGGGCCCAAATAATATATGGGCTGCCCGCCCTTCCTCAATTTGTCTTGAAACGTTATGTATAACTATTTAGATAATGTTAGGATCTTTTATTTATTAATAAGGCCCGATACTAATATACGAGTTCGAACAGTATAATAATCAATCATTAATTACGTAAAACAACAATCGTTTCACAATTGTTTGGGAATCAGAAATTCAATACATAAACTTTGAATTTTAAATCGAATTTTCAAGGACGTTCGGGAGCGGTGTCACAACCTGTCTTAAACCTAATTGGAGATTGGCGAGGGAAAAAATAAATTAGGGAAGAACGCACAAAAGAGAGAAAAACAGATTAGGAGAAGAACACACAAAAGAGAGAAAAAAGATTAGCGGGAACTAGAGAAACGAAATTAGAAGAACACACAAAAGAGAGAAAAACAGATTAGGGAAAGAACATACGAGCCACATAAAACGAAATTTAGGAGAAGAACATACGAACCAGAGAGCCGGCATGATGTAAAGATATCGCTAGTTGATTAAAAATTGGGTGTACTGATCGAGAACTAGGTCAAAGTGTAGACCCGCCGAAAAAATGAGTGGGAAATTTTAGAATGGAGCCAAGTTGATCTTTCGATTAGCGCCTCTTTTAAGTTTTGGGAGATTCCGGATAATGCCGCAAAAGCAGCCGCTGGGTTATTCTCAAACCTAGCTAGGGGAGCAGGTTACGTATTGTTTTCTATTAGTACCTCTTTTTTATCTTTTATTGATTATTTTTTTAGGCTATTATTATTCATGCTAAAGCTAAATAAGTCTCAATACTTTAGTTGTCTTAAATTTTCATGCTAAAGCTAAATAAGTCTCAATACTTTAGTTGCCTTAAATTTTGTGCCTTATCATTTCTCATACTTATATCAAATAAAACTTATATCCGTTGAACTTCAATATTTTTATTTTTTATTTTGTTTTTATTATATTTAATAACTATCGATCATAATAATAGTGTGATATTATAACTTTGAAAAATCAACTTATAGATAATATATCGCACAACAAACTTTTTATTTTCGAAAAAAAATCATTTTCTACAAATTTGATTTTGTAGTATAAAAATTTGTGTCCAAAGTTCTATCCCTAAGAAATGTTGCTTTTTAGGAATATAAGAACTTACCCCACACATTCTCTTTGTATGGAGAAGAAAGTTTGTATGGTAAGATAAGTACATATATAGCAGTTATTTTGTAGGCAAAGTAAATCCTTATTTTGTACAAAACTAATTTTGTATGCAAAAAAGTTGTAGGGAAAGGGTGAAAATCTAGTAGTGAATGTAGTATCAAAATCGTCCAAATGTACAGGACGGCGACGAGCTCTGTCACTCCTACGAACAACAATTGCATCATGTTGGGCAGGAGGTGTTGTGTCATGGGGCTCACAATTGACTTCACATGTCGGTGGCGGTGGTCCATTTGTGGGAGCTGATGAATCAAGCAGACTTATTGGAGGAGGACTCGACAGTATGGAGCTGTACTGCCTAATGGTAGGTCTCGGTGGAGGTAAGTTGTCAGGAGCATTAGTGATACCCAGTATGTGATCATACACCATGCATACTTTGACATCAAAATCATCCGTAGGATTAGTGGCCTTAAAAGGAAATTTTGTTTCAAAAAAGTGACATCACGAGTGTTGTATAACGTTCGAGTATGTAGATCAAAAACCCGATAAGCCTTTTGTCCATTAGAATATCCCACAAAAATACAAGGACTCCCCCTCTCCTCGAACTTATTCTTTCGTTTGTTGTTGTGAGCATAAACGAGAATACGAAGGTGCATGTAATTAGGCGCCTTACTGAATAGTAACTCATAAGGACTTTTATAAAAAAAGAATGGGTGTCGGGAGCCGATTAATGATATGCATTGGAGTAAGTATACACTCACCCCAAAATTCAATGGCTAAACCGGAGTGAAAACGCAAGGCTCTGGCCACCTCCAAAATGTGTCTATGCTTACGCTCTACCACACCGTTCTATTGTGGAGTGTCGGTACACGAGGTCTCTAATAAAATGCCACGATCACTATAAAAATTGAGCAAGACATGGGTTTGAAACTCATGCCCATTGTCAGTGCGAATGCGCTTAATAGATTTTCCAAATTGTGTATGCACCATATTGTAAAAATATATTAAGAATTGTCCAACATCGGACTTATTTTGCATGAGATAAACCCAAACTCCACGGGTGAAATCATCAATAGTGGACAAAAATAACGGGCACCAATAAGGGAGGTACACTTGTAACCGCCCCAAATATCACAATGGACCAAATAAAAACATTGTTTAGTTTTAATAGTGCTACGGGAAAAAGGGAGTCGAACACAAGGGTCACAAAAAACAGTATGCCGATTGAAGTCCTTCAAATGACTGATGTGACGAAGTTTGTCATCAGAAGCATGCCCGAGATGTTGGTGCCACACCTCATCATTTGGAGACACTAACATTGCCATCCGTCCATTAGTGAAGGGCTCCAAGTAATAAAGGCCATTTTGAAATCTACCCACCCCAATCGGCTTCCTCGAGGGTAAGACCTGCAATACACAAAAATCCCGGAAGAAAATTAGGACGCAATTATGCTCACTAGTAAGGCGGCTAACAGATAACAAATTGCAACAGAAAGACGGAATGTATAGGACACGTGATAATGTCATTCCGTTGGGTAATACAACACTGCCAACAGACTGCGCGGTACAATATCACCATTTGGCATGCGCATGGGAGGTTCCGACGGGTTCACCATAGTGTTGGTCAGTAAAGATTCATCACATGTAATATGCTCCGTTGCTCCAGAATCTATTATCCACGTGGACTGGAAATTTGTGTTACCTGCCATGTTTACTTGATTAATTGGAAGCTCCTCAGAAGTGGGTCATTGGGAATGAAATTCTTCTCGCATGAATTGAGTAAGTCGCTGAAACTGTTCATCCGATAGACCTAAGGTGCGGCTATCTGACTGGTCAACGTGTGCAGCTCGAGGGATCACATTTTTCTTCTGTCCAGACCGGTCAGTAGGGCGGCTGGAGCGTGCATCACCAATCCGTTGTCCTTAGGGCTTACTATCCTTGTTGCGAATATTCCAGTTGGGTACCCAATTATTTCCAAGCATGTTTCAGCCGTGTGATTTGACTTGCCACAATGGGAGCATTGTCAGACATCTTTCCCATTTGTTTTTCGGGTGGCATCTGGGTGGGGTTTTACTTGCGCCTGCAAGGCTGAATTTTCAACACCAGCATGGCATGAAATAGCAATGGTACGGTGCTACTCTACTTCAGATATGAGGTGGTAAGGCGAGGTCAACGTGGGAATTGGTCTAGTGGCTAGAATTTGGGATTTGAGAGATGCATAATAATCATTCAGGCCCATTAAAAAGTCGTAAAGATGTTCTCGGTCACGAATTTCATTCATTTTTTACCAAGTTGCACGTGCATTTGCCTCAATCACACGTTGGAGCCTTGGTAATTGAAGCCATCTCATCCCATATCCTTCGCAGCCGGCTAAAATAAGTCGACACAGATTGGTTATCTTGCCGTACGACCGTAGGGAACAACAAAGTTCATAAGCCTGGGGTGCACTCTCCTTCCCAAAGCGTTCTTCAAGGTCTGTCCATATCTCTCGTGTCGTTTTGAACTTGACGCTTTGCCTTAACTCAAGCTCCATGCTGCTGTTAAGCCATCCTTTGACCATTGCATTGACCCGTTGCCAATACGACAAATAAGGAGATTTGCAAATCTCCATTGACAAACCCAATTTTATTTTTGGCATATAGGGCGTTACTCATCTCATCAAGCCAATCGCCGTAATTACCATCTCGTAAAAGTGAAGTCACGAACACATACCCCGGTTTGTCACCAGACTGGATGTAATACAGGGACATGCAATCTATGATTGGTGCATTACCACCACCGCCGGCTTTATCGCCAACGGCCATGATGAAGAATGAAAAGTATCAATTCCCAGGGGCCATGATGATGAATGAAAAGTATCAACTTATTTTTTTAAGTTGCTGCATGTACTCATTAGTTTGTATATAATGCTCATATCTAGATATCATATTTATCATTTTTATATTTACCCATATTTCTCTGTTAAAATTACATACTACTGTACTTACATTCTTTGGCTCCTGATTGCTATTTTCCTCAATCTGCATTGCAACTTCTTTTTCATTTGTGATCAGCTTTGGAACTATGAATTCCGCTTTATTAGGTTCATCTATATATCTGTATCCGAAACCTCTGGTTTCAATATCTTTCTTCTGTCTTTTGTTCAAATTTTGTGTTGTCCACCCATGTATAGGTGGAGATGCTCTTTGAACTTTTCTTCCTTTGAACACAACGTTGTCCACGTAGAAAACCAACATATGTTATAAGATGTTAGAATTCTGTACTGAATAATTATTTGATTAATACTCTGAAGAAATTGAGCAATAACATTTACAATTTGTAACTTACAATCAGAAATAATAAAGGCCATGGGAACTGTCTTTCTCTACTTTTGCTCCAATAGTCCTTTGCTTCAATTAATGCTTCCAATGTGTATCCACACCAATTCAGATCCTTGATTTTTGAATCATCCTGCAATGCCTTCAAAATGCTTTGATTGGCAAACCAATTTCACTTCCCTTCAATCAAACACGTTACCAGGAGAACCAAAAAAATTCTTTTTAAACCATCCACCACCTGCTTTGTTTTCTTCTATTAACCTTCTTCACTTGAGCAGTCTTCACAACTCCATTTTCAGTCTCAAATTGCGATCTCCAATCAGCCACCATGTGTGATGTATTCTCAGATTCAGTGTCAATCAAATTATTCACATTAATCTTTCCTTTTGGAAACCCCAATGTCATGTGCATTGCATCTTCAATAATCCTCAATCTCTCATTGTTCGGCAGAAGAATAAACACACTTCTGCTATCAAAATTCTCCACCAATCAAAATTATCCGCCAACTGCATTGGCAATTGCTTCACTTCAAGGTTCAGTAAGGGGCCAAATCCCATCTCAACCACCTCTTTCTTCTGTTCTGCACTTAGATTTTTCATTATTTCTGTTATACTACTCGGAGACATTCTTGTCCACAGCTTTGGGTATTTTTCATTCTCTTCCTTCTCTATCTCCTCTCCGTCCTCCTCAAATTCTTCCTCTTTTTCTGCTTTCTTCTTCTTTATCTTCTGCTTCTACTCTTTTATTGACTCTATTTGCCTTGTTATTTTCTTGTTTGCATGAACTTCTTTCTTCTTTTTCTGAACTTCATCTTTTTTCGTTTCAGTTGTTTTTGTGATTGTTGATCTTGTAATTCTTCTTTTTGGACTAACTTCCTCGCCCTCTTTCTCTTTGCTTGAATTTCCTTGCTCTGTACTTTTCTTAATTGCGCCTGCATTATTTCTCTGTGCAGCGCCTTGTTGTGCTTCTACAACAATCTGATGTTGTTAAGTTTCCCTACCTTGTTGCTCATTTGCCCTTCCTTGTTGCTCAGATTCTTCTCTAACCTTCTCACTTGTCTTACTGCTATCATTCCTTGTTTCTTCAACATTATCATGTTGCTCGGTTTCAGCCCCTTGCTGCTCAGTTTCCCTCCCTCGGTGCTCAGATTCTTCCTTAACATTCTCAGTCATCTTACTGCTACCTTTGATTGTTTCTTCAACATTCTGATGCTCCTCAGTTTCCCTCTCTTGGTGCTCAGTTTCTCTCCCTTGGTGCTCAGATTCTTCTCCAACATGCTCGGTGATCTTACTGCTAGAATTCCTTGTTTCCTCAACATTCTCATGTTGTTCAGTTTCTATCCCTTGTTGCTCAGTATCCCTCCCTTGTTTCTCAGATTGTTCTCCAACATGCTCAGTCTTCTTACTGCTAGCCTTGCTTGTTTCTTCAGCCCCGGTTTCTTCATCACTGATCTTTATCTCAGCTTCAATTTGTTTTATTAAGTCCATATTAGCCTTTTCCTTGTGTGGAATTGCTTTTGGGTTTCATCTTTTTCTGTGGAACCTTGGAAGTCTTTTTTACTCTCTTTTTTGGATTTGAGCGCAACACTGGGATCTCACTTATAGGTCGTGGATCTAAAATCCTACATTATTAATTAGAATGAGTAATACATATCGAATCATGATTCAGAAATCAGTTCCATACTTAACAAGTACAATATACCTTATTAATTAATATGAGCAATACATATCAAATCATGAGCATACTAAATATTATTTTGTAATTCTATTCAATAACAGGCATATTATATACAAACAATTTATATGTAAATGTAGTTTATAACAAGCATATCCTAAGACAAAATTTTCATTGTTTTTTTTTTGAAAATATAACACCATATGGTCATTTGAAAGTACTGATCAACTTATGAGTATCAGTTCACTTTTAAATTAACGTTATCAATAACTAACATATTATCACCAATTTTCAGTACTATAAAATTGTGACACAATGTTTTACAATTTGAGCATCTTACACTCACATTATGAGCACACACACAATGTCCATGCAAACGAATTACAGAACAAGTATATTGTAAAACAAAAAATCTACAACACTTCATGACGCATTGTTCATGACACAAAGTCTATTTGTTCATTTGAAACAGTGATCAAATAATGAGTATGAGTTCAATTTTAATGGCACACTATGAGTAATAAGCATAAGCACATATGAATCATAAGCATATTATTCAATAAGTATAGATAATTTAAAACACATACCACTCCATTCATAGATGAGTACTGTATACCAGAGATTGAGTATTTTTTATCATTTTACAAGTAACGTAATTACAATATCATCATTTTCTAACTAGTTAGTAATGCATATCACCTAAAGTAGAGTAAAATGAGCAATAACCTTCGTACATTGAACAAAACCTCAATTGATATACTTAAATAACACATGTCATGCATCAAATTCATAATCTGCTTGAGATTTGTCAAAATCATTTCAATTTTTCTATAATTTTCGAAACATGCAAGTATATTGATTAATCATCACTACAATAGAAATTTCAACAGTATAATATTGCATACCTCTCTGATGCTTCTACAGTATCAGGCTTATCTGCGTTCTTCATCATCTCATACTCGGATACTAAGTCCATCGCTCGCATCAATGCTCAAACAGAATGAACTTGCTGCTCAAAGTCTTCCTCTGTTCTTCAACTTGTTGTTGCTCTCCAACTCTACAAAGAACTCCACGAAGTTGATAACCGTCTGGAGGTTGTCCTCGTTTTTCGAGCTTAAATGCGGCGTCTATGAATGCTTGCGTCGTTTTTGAACAAATTGCAGAAGGCAGATCAATTTTTGAGAGAAGTTACTTTTCTGTTTTTGAGATGTTTAAATCGCAGCATCTGTTTTCGGTTATCAATGTTACCCGGTAAAAAATTGGGCCAGTTGTTTTGTTGGCTTGATCTGTTAATGGACTTATTTTAATGGGCTTCATAACTTATTTGGTCTCTCTTTAAAAAAAACTTATTTGGTCTCTCTTTAATTGGACCGGATGTACCTACATCCGAGTGTATAGTATAGGGTCTCCCCATCCCCCAATATGATACTATAGTTATCTCAACGTAATTGTCGTGTATTATTTATGTTCATTCCAGTTTTTAAGGTCATTTTTGACATCAAACAGTCTTCATTTATACGGATGTCATGTTTTAAAATTTTCTAGTCATATGATGGTTAAAAACACATCTACTCATACTTTGGAAAATCTGAGTTTTACTCATACATGGTATTTTTCCCGATAAGCTAGAAACTAGTATTCTTAGGATCTAATTTGTTATTCTAATCTAGAGTATGATGTGTGTTGTTAATTACTTAATTGTAATGCAAATAGATCTAATGTGTGTGGTTAATTGTAGTGCATAACTTATACGAACTACATTAGGAGAGGATCACAAATTCACAATCGTCACAAATTAAATGCGACAAATATTGCATATAGGAACATAATTAATTTATTCATATTATTTATTATGTGTCTACATGCATTGTACGTACATATCTCCACATGTGGTTATTAGCTAAACTATATCTCCTATTATTGTGTAAGTAGTTGAAGTGTATTCCTATCCCTTTAGCATAGCCTATACGTGTGTATATATATGACCGATTGTAATCCTTCATCAATTCAATTGAATATATCTTTATTATTCTATATGGTATCAAGAGCCATTCTCTAAAGAGCTAATATTCATATCTTATTTGTTTTTTTTTTTCGGTTCCCTCATCATGGTGATCACCGAAACCACGAGTGTCACTCAAATCACCGCTGCCACTCACTTTCCTATCAAGCTTACGGCGTCCAATTTTCCAGTCTGGAAATGTCAGGTGCACTCCGCACTCATTGGATTAGGGCTTGAAGACTACGTTGATGGTGGAATTGTCATTCCTGACAAATTTCTTGATGCCGCCAAATCTCAACGCAATCCCTGTTATACCATATGGTATCGACAGGACAAGACCATTTTAAGTGCCCTTCTCGGAAGCTGTTCGGAGTTCATACAACCTGTGATCTCCTCTTCACCGACGGCTCAGAATGCATGGGATAAACTTTCCCTCACCTATGCTAGCACCTCGCGTGGCCGGATAATCTCCCTCAAATCAACCCTATCTCGCACGAAGAAGGGATCCAAATCCATCACTGCTTATCTTGCTGAAATGCAGGCTATTGCGGACGCATTAGCATTGGCTCAAAGCCCAGTCTCGGATGAAGATCTTATTGTTCACATTCTCAATGGTCTTGGTCCAGAATATACCGATATTACTGGGGCTATTCATGTACGTGAAACTGCCATGCGCATTGGTGAGCTTCCCCGTATCTTACTTGATCGAGAAACTCAACTCCAGGAGGTTGCTGCAGCCACTAATGATCTCCTACCCACGGCAAATGCTACTGAAAGCACACATCGGTCAACCTTCACTGCTGATCGCCGGTTCAACTCCAACACTGATCGTCAGGGCTCTTACTCGCGTCGTGGCAGGGGCGGCAACAACAACTCATCATTTCGGAATTCTCCTAGCAATCTGCTTTGTCGATTTTGTGACAATCAGGGTCATGATGTCACCCAATGCCGCAAACTGCAGCGTTTTCTCCGCGATCACAAAGTCCCACATCCGGCCACCCCAGCAATTAATCACACCGCGGCATCTCCGTCTGTTCCCGGCCAGCCGTGGCTATTTGATAGCGGTGCATCTCATCATGTAACAGCGGATGCCTCCAATCTACCTTCCTACACCGATTATGGCGGTCCCGATGAGGTCAAACTTGGTGATGGTAAGTCCCTTCGGATTACTCATACTGGTTCTACTATTTTACCTACCCCTACCCGTCCCCTCTCTCTATCTAACGTCCTTTGTGTTCCACGTCTTCATAAAAATCTAGTCTCTGTGGCTAAATTATGTAAGACTAACAATGTTTCGATTGAATTTTTCTCTTCCCATTTTTTGGTTAAGGATCAAATCACGGGGGCGCCTCTCATGCGCGGGGAGAATTTCCATGATGTCTACTATGCACCACCCAGTTTCAAAATACGATCATCTCAAGTCAATGTCACTCAAGTTTCGAATCTGTCCGGGTGGCATCACACCCTTGGTCACCCATCATCTCGTGTGTTGCAGTTTTTAATTAGTCAAAATCAATCAGCTATTACTTGTAATAGTTCTATGAATAATCATTGTAATTCATGTTCTATTAATAAAAGCACGAAATTGCCTTTTTTTACTAATTCTATAACTGCAACGTCTCCCTTACAAATCATCTATTCGGATGTATGGTGCACTAATGATACGTCAATAACTGGTCATCGCTACTATGTTATATTTGTGGATTATTTTACTAGATATATCTGGTTATACCCACTTAAACAAAAATCTGAAGTGGCTAGTATTTTTCCACAATTCCATCGGTTAGTTGAGAAATTTTTTCAAGGTACCATTGTGACATTATTTACTGATAATGGTGGAGAATTTCTCAAACTCCGTCCCTACTTAAATTCCCATGGTATCTCTCACCTGACCTCACCCCCACATACACCTGAACATAATGGACTAGCCGAACGTAGACATCGTCATATTGTTGAAACTGGGTTATCTCTATTACATTTTTCCGGGATGCCTATTTCGTACTGGGTTTATGCCTTTCAAACGGCAGTATATCTCATAAATCGTCTACCTACGCCAGTTCTCCAAAATGACTCCCCTTATTTTCGTCTCTATCACCAGTCTCCTAATTACACTAAACTACGTCCATTTGGGTGTTTGTGTTATCCCTGGTTACGTCCATATAATAACTCCAAATTACAGCCTCGCTCTCAACCTTGTGTGTTTGTGGGTTACTCACTTTCTCAGTCGGCTTATTTGTGTCTTGACACTAATACTGACCGTATTTATGCAAGCCGCCACGTTCGTTTTGTTCCAGATATTTTCCCATTTAAATCTGATCGGCTCAATTCTGAACGTGTATGCATGAATATCTCGAGTATATCTTCCACGTCACTACCCTCTTTCCATCCCACCTCTTCTGGTCAACTCCTCCCTATCCTCTCTACCTCACACGTATCCACTCAACCATCTACACCTAATAATTCTTCACCCACTAATTCCTCTCCTGACACTCAACCCCACCAAACATTATCTCCCCAAAATCCTATCCCCCCATTAATTCCCAATGACACCTCATCATCTCAAATACCACCCACATCGTCTCCCATCATAAGTCAAGCCAGTCAAACCCAACTATCTCAAACCCAAATTCCACACGTTCGTCCTGTTCGTCACCGCAAACCCAATACTAAATACCTTGGTGGTCCATTCATCAACTCTACCACCAATCACCCTATACAACCTACCCTTGAACCTACCCTTGAACCAGGCTATGAGTGATCCGCGGTGGAAATCTGCCATGGAAGCTGAAATGGATGCCCTTCATCGTAATGCTACATGGATACTTGTGCCGCCAGCGAACCATTCTCCAATTACATGCAAATGGTTATTTCGGGTCAAACGAAATGCCGACGGCAGTGTGGCTCGTTTCAAAGCTAGGTTGGTTGTTCGCGGGTTCCTTCAACAATCAGGCCGGGACTACTTTGAAACCTTCAGTCCGGTCACAAAGCCGGCAACAATCCGCATTATTCTTACTATTGCTTTAGCTCGGAACTGGCCTCTTCGTCAAATGGATGTCAATAACGCGTTTCTACATGGGACTCTCACCGAGGAGGTGTATATGACACAACCGCCCGGATTCAAAGACTCTATTCATCCCACATATCTTTGTAAACTTCAAAAAGCGTTATACGGGCTTAAACAGGCCCCCAGGGCATGGTACTTGGAGCTTACTCGGTTCTTGCTATCAGTGGGATTTCGGAAGTCAAGAGCCGATGCTTCACTTTTCATCTATTCTCATGATGGGATTATGATATATTTTATGGTATATGTAGATGATATTGTACTAACGGGTAACAATACCAGTGCTATTGAGAGTTTTGTGAGCCAACTCACGTCCAAATTCTCGGTCAAAGACCTTGGTATGTTGCATCACTTTCTGGGCATTGAGGTTATTCGTATCCCTCAAGGGTTGTTTTTGTCCCAACGTCAATACCTATTACATATATTAGAAACATGTACCATGCATGAAGCTAAAGCAGCGGTCACACCAATGAGCTCTTCCTATGTACCGTCTCATGAGAGTCCACCCATGTCTGATCCTAGCATGTATCGTCGTGCATTGGGGCTTTTGCAGTATTTGGCGTTTACAAGACCGGACATCTCCTTTGCCGTTAATCGGCTATCTCAACATATGCATTGTCCGACACTTGATCATTGGCAGGCTGTCAAGCGTGTACTACGTTATCTCAAAGGTACCATTCATCATGGCTTACTTCTTCGTCGGGATCCCCAGCTCACTCTCACCGCCTTTTCGGATTCCGACTGGGGTGGTGTTCGTGATGGGGGGAGGTCTACGACAGCATATGTTCTCTACCTGGGACCTAATGTTATCTCGTGGAAGTCTGCTAAACAGAAGTGTGTCTCTCGATCATCTACGGAAGCAGAATACCGGGCTGTTGCAAATGCTAGTGCAGAACTCCTGTGGGTCCGT